GCTAGGCAAATAGTTATAGTGATTTAACTGATTTAAAGGGTAACTAGGTTAGGTTCAGGGGTCAAGGAATATGACAGAACAAAAATTTATCATTTTATCTTCTAAACACAAGACTCAAGTGTGAGAATACAAATAGTACTTCTGGTGAGTGCCAGCCATTTTAACAAAATTATTTTTATGATTTTATGTTTAAACATTTCTTAGAGAAATACTGTGTAAACCCATCTAATTAAAACACACACACACACGTAGTAAAAAACACATGGCAAACGACAAATTCCATAATAAGTTTCAACTTTGCTTCAATCTACCATAATATAAAATTTTCTAAATGTGGTATATGTGTTTCTTTGCATTTCATGTTTTACTGAAGAAGGACACTCACTAAGTGTCTGTGGTTAAAGTTTACTTTCAGTGAGTTATGCCTGATCATGCCTGAACTCTGGTTAACAAACCATACAATAACCTGGATTATGTCATTGATTACACAGGTCTACAAAAAAAAAAAATCAGGTGCCAAGGTTTTTTGAATGGATTTAAGGTATATTGAGGGCGCTGAATTCAAAAATTGCGAACTGCCGTTTGCCGTGTGCTCTGTCACCCCTCACTGGCAGTACACTCCTCTCAGTGTGTCTTTGCCCTGTGCTCTGTCACCCCTCACTGGCAGTACACTCCACTGGCGCCATTACTTTTGCTGAATTGGTTCTAGTTTTTGAGATAATGGGCATTCATGAAAATAATGCATTCCCCCAATGTGACTTGTATGTGATAACAAATGCAATAGCTTTTCTTTTATTGTTAAAGAGTCTTTTAACTCTTTAACAGTGTCTTAGGTAATGAAATATCCCATATAATTATATTGTATTTAAATTTGTAGGATTGCTATAAAAGCGACTTTTTGAAGCCAGAATTCAACTGTGAATTTGCAGAGGAAAGAGGTCGGCTACAGTATAAGTTTGTCAACCCAGTCTTGGTTTATACCCAGAAAGTTCTGTCTTAATAAGTATATACTGTAAATACATATAAACATTATGACTTGATGGTCCTGAGATTCGTAAACACATGAACAATTCCAATTTTACCAAATGCATGAATGACACTGAGGCTTCAGCCTGGAAGAGCTTTGTCTCTGTTGAGAAGAATGACTTGGGTAATCACAGAGCAGACAATTATGAAGAACTGGTGTAAGATATGCTTGCTAACTTCAGAAATTTGGGAGTTAATATGAGCAGAAAGATGCTCCATAGCCATTTAAACAGATTTCCAGATAACCTTGGAGACTTCAGCAAGGAACAAGGTGAGAGGTTCCACCAGGATATGAAGGTGATGGAGGAGAGATATCAAGGCAGATGAGACATACACATGATGGCAGACTAGTGTTGGAGTCTCCAACGTGATTGTCCTGATGACACACATAAAAGGAAATTGCATATACAGCGTTTTTTGAAGCATTGACATTAATAACAATTAATAACTAATATTGTATTAATTAATCAAATCCTACATAACTTTTTCCTGTCACTGTTAGAAATTTTTAATTTCTTTTTTGTATGATGTTAGACTTTACATACTAGTTAAAAATATTCTTGCGATTCTGAATGCTTTTCAAACGTGTTGCGTTAATTAATTAATTGATTAACTATTAAATATCTCAGAAACTAGAGCCAATCTAGCAAAACCGAAGTCATATTCTTAATCAGCACCATAAACTTAATATAAAACCGTTCAGACATCGTTGGCACCAAAATCACTGTATACAAGTGTTATTAATAACCAAGCTTTGCCAGGTGTCTGCAGAAAGCAGACTCAGTTATAGTTCAGGAAGTTATAAATTGGCATTATAAACTGTCATCCATCCCAAAGTGCCAAATCGCTGGCAGCTTCAGTTCAGGTGCGGGGCCACAAGGTCAGAAATCAGTGACACAAGCGTGTGGCCACTTTGCTGGGGCTCATGCATCCCCAACTCCCACCAACATAAAAATGTGAAAAACTGACACTCATTCAATCACCTATGAAATATGCCAGGTTAAAACATCGACTATGTCATTATGTGATGGAATTCTGGGAATAAAACTGATTTTTAGGCAGCAACAAAGCAGCAGAGCCAAACAACTGCATCCATGTCACCAAAAAACGGAAGAGAAGTTCAGCTGGACAAAGATGGGAGGCAGGATATAGACGTGGGATTTATAAAGCACTGCTGCTATTCCCAGTTTCAGGGAGACTGTCGACGTATGAAGTGAGCGGTCACTGTCAGCCACTGAAGCACATTCCTTTATAGCAGAAATGCCTGCAGGCATGCGCGGTCACTGCATACAGGTGTGCAGTGCAGGGGAGGGCAGGCGGCAGCCCCCAGAGGGACAGGCCAGCCTTTGTTAGCATGCCCGTTGGCCCAGGTGTCCATAGGAAGCTTGCAGAGAAGGAGGATGAGCGTGTTCTGGAAGTTCACCTTCATCAAATTTGTATCCCATTACTTTTAAGCCCTGGGTTTATACCTGCTGTTACGGCTTGAATATGAACCTAGGGGGCAATTCATGTCAAGTCAACTTATGAAGCTACAATCTATGCAGAACCCAGATGGCCTGAAACAGGGAAAATGGCAGTACACTCCACTCAGTGTGTGTTTGCCGTGTGCTCTGTCACCCCTCACTGGCAGTACACTCCACTCAGTGTGTGTTTGCCCTGTGCTCTGTCACCCCTCACTGGCAGTACACTCCACTCAGTGTGTGTTTGCCCTGTGCTCTGTCACCCCTCACTGGCAGTACACTCCACTCAGTGTGTGTTTGCCGTGTGCTCTGTCACCCCTCACTGGCAGTACACTCCACTCAGTGTGTCTTTGCCCTGCTCTCTGTATGCTGTCACAGCATCACAATCCCCACACTACCCACTGCCACCAGCACATGGCTGTCTGCTCAGCATGGGCAGCATGGAAATTGAGAACAATGCCTGCAGGGTAGTTTTTTCCACTGGAGTTTCCCCGTGCTTTTACACATTTTTCGGAAAAAAAGGCTAAAATTTATATTTAAAATGATCTCTCTGGTAACACAGCCAGACACAAAAAACTCTGAATAAGCATTTTAATATGAGACCTGAACACTGAAGACAAGCAGAAAGTCCTGCTTCTCAGACAAGCGCAGTTCTCATACCCCACATTAACCAGGAGGCCCGCCCCAGATCTGCCTGGTTAAACAGTCACTGGACACTGGAGGCCGTCACATGATCCATACACCCTGTTCCCGGCTCCCAGGCTCATTGGCAGTGGTCCGCAGGGGGCTGAGTTAAGCACAACGTTGGCTGCAAGCGGGAGTTGCCTGAAGGATTAATGACCAGGGCAAACAAGCAGCTGAAACACTGACCTGGCTGTTCTCCAAATGGCTCTTTTCTACCTCTGATTTGTACCACAGCAATGACTTTTTTCTGTTGCTTTTCTAAATAATCTACAATAACCAAACAACGGTGCGTTGGACCCAGGCAATCTGCTCTCAGAGACTGCAGTTAATTAATCTCAACTGCACATTTATGCCTGCATTTCCAGCCTAATGTAGAGCCTCATAATATTACAGTTCACTAGAATAACTCCTAGAAAATCAACCAGGAATTATAACACAACTATTAATTTGCAATACTGAAAAAAATGGCCAAAGAGTGAAAAAAGACTGCAGCTCACTTATGTGATACTTACAAAGAAGAACACAGCAACACTCCCCCCTAGTGGTACGATTTATTTACTGCTCAGATGGGTGCATAGGCGTATACCGGATTCACACCCTGTCCAGTCAGAGAGTCCTGCAGACTGCTGCTGTGTGTCTTCTTTACCTCACTAATAGGCCTGATGTGTGCCGCCAGAACAAACTGGCCTTTTTTTGCTTACCTAATCTATAGCATCGGTTCTACATGTTCAGCTCCCAATGGGGCACACCGCTCACGGTAGATAATCTATAGCATCGGTTCTACATGTTCAGCTCCCAATGGGGAACACCGTTCATGGTAATGACACTGCTGAATGCAATCTGCAAGTTAACTGGTTTTATTCCCTCCAGATGCATCCCAAAAATCCCAGGATTACTCGGGGCACTGGCGCCCCCTGTGTTACGTAGGTTATTTAGCAGAGAGGCCGTCTGGCCCTTATGTAGAGGGCGGGAGGCAGATGCTAGAGCAGCTCCAGTCCTGCTTAGAACTGCTCACCTCACAGACCTCGAGGAATTTGCTGTCCACATTTTCAGGGGAGCATTTTAACTCAAATGCTGCTTTAAGTTGCAGCTCTTGGCCTGTAAGTTCCAGCTCCAGAGGTGGAAAGTTCAGGTCCAGAAAGTACAAACCCAGACCAAGGTTTTGTTTTAACCAACCAGCTGTGACTGTGACTCTTTATACTCAACTGGTTGATTGAAACAAAACCTTGGTCTGGATTTGTACTTTCCGGACCAGAGTTTTTCCACCTCTGTCCAGATCTGAGCCAGTTTATCCTGCAGCAGAATACAATGAGCATATCCTGTTAATTTTACCATCCATTTTCTGCATCCCCTTATCCTATTCAGGGTTGTGGGTGGTCCAGAGCCTGTCCAGAAGCTATGGGTGCAAGGCAGAAACAACCCAGGATAGGGCAACAACCCATCGCAGGGCAAACTCACACACCATGCACTCACACATGCACCCCTATGGGCAATTTGGTAACTACAATTAACCTCAGCATGTTTTTGGATTGTGGGGGGGGCAGGAACCAGGGTACCTGGAGGAAACCTCATGATGACACGGGGAGAACATGCAAACTCCATACACATGTAACCCAGGCAGAGACTCCAACCCTGGGCCCTGATGTGTGAGGCAACAGTGCTAACCACTGCACCACCATGCTGTCCCCCCGCCCCCCAATAATTTTAAGTGTGGGGAAAAACACCTAATTAAGATGCACAGATCTGACTGTGTTTGTGGGCCAGTGATGGTTCTCGCTCTGTCTTGAGGAGCAGGGTGGCGGCATAGATCCGGTCGGGCGGCAGACTCACTGCGAAGTGTGCATGACGGGGGTGAGCGTACTGTCCCGCTCGGGGTCCATATCCAGTTCATCGTCAACACTGCTGTCATGCCACAGAGGCGGAGGAGCAATCTTCCTCACTGCGGGAACACATTACAGGCACACCGTTACATACCAGCTGCATAACAACAACTATATCTGCACCCAAAGGTGGCACTTCACAATGTAGCGGGCAAATGTCACTTCTTGCCTGTTTCTTGTGGGACACAGAAAGAGGAGATTGACGTCCAGGACTGCTGGCGGCCTGAAGAGACATGGAATTATGGTGAGCGCTTGGGTTTACTGCGAGGACAGAACACTCACACATAGACAACGAGGGTATTAGCCTTACAGCCAAAGGCTGAGAAAGCACCCAAAGACAGGGAGACAGCAGGGCTGGGTGAGGGGACAGAATGGGTGCAGAAAAGGAGGCCGACGTGAGCTCACCACATAATCTCAGGGCTTGGGGTTCAGATGGGCGTTGGCAGTCTCGTCATAGGACAGGTGAAAAAGGGGAAGTAAAAAACAGGAGCTCACAAACCTCTAAAGCCTTCAAACTTGTGTGCGCATATGACATTTTCTTATTCATGGCTGTATGCTTTGGGCACTTACAACTTCACCAAGAAAGCACATTATAACGACTTTTCACATATTGTTTAGGTGCTGATTGTGCTGATGGCATCCGTAGCTGTTCAGCTTTTGTGTCTTTTGTGTATTCCTATTTTAAGAAACTAACTATTTTTATGAACTTTTCTGTGATGACCACCACACCAATCCTGGGCCAAGAGTGCAGAGTAATTTTTAATTTTTTTATTTTTTCCTGCTGGCCATTTGGTGTGTGTGCACATACAACCATGAAAAAAATTAAGAGACCACTCTATATTTTTAAACAAATCTGCATTTTAAAATCTTGGATTAATGGTGGTTCTGTTGGCAGGAGGCTACGCTGAGCAGCAGGATGCTTCCAGGCTCAAAATTTGAAAGGCAGCAGCACACAAGAACAAAGTGATGTAGGAGACACTGTGAATGACCAGCCAGGTAAAGGGCGGAAGCTGCATCCCAATGCCAGAGATAATTGTTAAATTATCGATCAGTTTCTCATGAAACGCAGGATCACCTCGAGTGACCTTCAAAAGGAATGGGAATCATTAAGTGCAGGTGTGAAGTGCACTGGTAGGACAGTTTGTATCAGGCTCCTAGAAGCAGGACTGAAGTCCCATAAAGCAAAGAAGAAGCCCTTCATTAATGAGAAACAGGGAAGAACCAGGCTGCAGTTTGCAAAAATGCATATATTATTCACAGATGCACATCCTTAAATTGAGTAACGAATTAAACAAAAAATTATGCTGCAGTCCCTTAATTTTTTCGGCGACTGTATGTCGGACCCTATGGTGCTTGTACTGTAAGTCACACTTAACCAAAATAGTTTTGACTACTCATAAACATTTACAACCCGGTAACCAAGAAACATTACGGACAGATTAAAAACCTGTAGCCCAAATGGCTAGTTTTGTTTCACAACAGGGCCGAAGGGCCGACTATCAGCCAGGTGTGGCTTCCTACCAGAATGGGTATCAGAGGAAAACTGCCCGCAGTCTTCAGGCACCGGCTCAAACGTGATATTGGGAACAGTGAGGGAGTTAGACCCATTGTCCTTCTCAGTCTTGGGTTTCCTCCCCTTCTTTAACTGTTCCAAGCAATATACAAAAGAGAGTCAGGCACACACAGTCTATTGATACGGACCCACAAAGAAAGACAGCAGCATGACATGTATGCAAATATGCTGTCATTAGCTGACATGGCATATGACAAAGCACAACTGTACGGTATCTGGGACAAAGTTATTAAACAATACATCCCCAGAGCTGCAGGCTGCAAGGGTGTCACGCATGCATACCATCATCTTGGACTTAGAGATGGACTGTATGTATGTGTTGCCTGGTAACCTCTTGCCCACAAAAATCTTGTAGGTTGCTGAGTTAGAGTTCTGCAAGGCAAAACATCTCCACGAAGTCTGATGGAGGACAGGTCAGAGAAATCAGACTGCTGGGGTGATAATAATGACACATCAAAGGACATGTGCCACCAAGCCGTGGGCTTTACCTGTATGAGACAGGCGGCTGCCGGGATTTGTCTGTTAAAGTGCTTCTGTCTTTGTTTCTGCTGGACCTTCAGAGCAAAGCCAGAACCCAAGATTCCCTGCGGAGAGGGACCAAAAAGGTTCACCGAGCTTTCCGTGAAAAATTAAATGGAGGGTACAAGGACCCACCTGAGTCTATCCAAGTTCTGTAACTACTTATCCTGTATAAGGTCATTGTCAGCCTGGAACTTAACCTGGGAAGCCCAGGTCCAGCAGACACGGGACTCCTTGGGAAATTCACCTAAGCCCGTATTTTTGAACTGAGAGGAAGCGTGTACAAACATGGGGGGACATGCAAAATCCAGACAAAGACGGGAGAAGGGAGTGAGCCAACGTCCCTAGAGGGTGAGGACACAGCATTGCTCACTGGGCCACCCAGAAACATAAGAGTAACACCCTTGGTGAAATGGTTGTATGATGCTACTTATTGGGGCTGGGAGCAGAATGCAACAAAACACACAGCACAATCTGTGACTTACAGAAGGCAGGGCGAAGAAGGAGATGGCAAAAACTGAGAAACAGGATGCAATAGTCTTGCCAATCCAGGTCTGTGGCACCTTGTCCCCATAGCCTATGGTGGTGACAGTCACCTAGGGGCAGAGAGAAGGCTGTGTGTTTACTGCAGCTCTTTTCCTGTCCCTTCTGAGAACAAACTGCCAAACACATCTGTGAGCATGCGTGAGCATAGCTTGACTCTGTCTGTGTCAACAAAAATCAACTTTCCTGTACACAATTTATTTTGTGTGTAGGGGGGGACTTTTCAAAGAGGTCCGGGGCAGGCAGGTAGGGGGGGGGGGCAACATCAAACTGTGAACTTTCACTGCTTCAGAGATTGAGAGATTCAGCAGATCGGAGAGAGTGGCCCTGTTTATCTGTGCTTCGAGTCTGTGATGTCGTATTTGTCAGGGGTGAGGAGAAGCACACCCTCTTACTGAAACATCGCAGGGGTGCAGTCTGGAAATGAAGATGGAATCTATGCTATTTCATTGCATAGTAAACGCTGAAGGAAACCATCACGTCGTGCTCAGTGTACACTGACTCCCTGCGGTCTGAATAAACTAAAGAACTGAAATGTAACGTTCGTGTTACATTTTAAAACTTCTTTGGAAGTTAGATATTTTACTGAGGCACCCTGCACACATATTCAGTAGTATTTTGATCAGACAAACAAGCAGCATTTGGTATCAGCCGTAGGTCAGAGAGCAACTACAACACTTGCTAGGGGATACCTACCACACCCCACCACAGGGCGTCGGCGTAGCTGCCAAACTCCGTGTTCCCACTGCTGTCCACCTCGTCCTTCTCCGCCAAATAGACAAAGTAGGAGGAGAAGATGAGGCCCAGGAAGCCGATGTACAGAGTGGTGATCAGCTCCTGGAGACAGAGAAGCACTGGCTCACGTACTGAAACAGGAGCAGAGTGTAAGTGGAAGAGCTCTGGGAGGAAGATGTCCTCCTTGTGGAGGAGTCATGGGAATTTCAGTGCCACAGCTGGGAACCACAACTCAATCATTACAGGCAGACATTTATCAGAGGTAGATATGGCTTGGATGAGTAGATGCAGGAACTCATCTGACACCTCTGAGAGAGCATGTCTCTCAAAATGTTTATTTCAGGTTCACGCCAAGATAAGATGATGGTAGAGCATCGATAAAGAATGAGCCTGGAGTCTTGCTCTCACTTCTGAGTCACGACCAACAGCAGTCAAAGAAAGCATGCGGATTTAGAATGAGAATGTTTCCCGTGATCAACACGCCAGCAGGATAAATGCACTTAACTTTAAAACTGATTATAGACTCTTCTTGCATAGATTTCAGTTGCTACACTTGAAATGGACATTTCACCTGCTGCAAGTTCCTACTTGCATCGATTCCTTTTTTATTCATTCACCGTGAGACTCCTGCACTTCAGCCTGTGCGTATGGCTCATACTGACCTGGCGATGGATAAACAGGACAGAGCCCAGTAGGCGCCAGGTGCCGCCCTGGCGGTCCACATGCAGCATGCGCAGGATCTGCAGGAAGCGAATCCCTCTGGAACAGACAGCCGGTCATAATGCTCGCACTGAGACACCGTGTGTCTTCCCGAAGGTGTGCGGCTGGCCACGCTTACCTGACAGCGGACGTAGCAAACACCTGCCCGTTGGATCCCATTGCCAGCACGATGATGGATGCTATGACTACAATCAAATCTAAGACAGACGGTGTATCAGTCCTCTGCTGAGACTCACATGGCTACAGCCTGCTTGCATTACCAGCACTCATTTGTGACATTTGACAGGTTTTGGTGCTGTTACATTAACAAAGTGCTAGAATCATCTCCAATAAAGAAGGAAGAGTGTTTAGCGGCCAGCTTCCTGCTCACCGATGATGGAGATGGGCTTCCTGGCAAAGCGAAGTCGTCCCCAGACGCCGACATATTTGCTGCGGCAGCCAGCTGACCAGAGCCTCACTGTGTACTCCACCCCAAAGAACACCACCAGCGCCATCTCCTGCAAGAAGGGGTGCCGTGCAACAGCTACTTCAGGGAGACCTCAGGAAATTCTGCTTGTTTTGTCGGCATATATTGATGCATATTTAAAGTGAGATGTTTAAATTTGTGTTTAAATTCAGTATAGCACCATGATTCCCTAAATTGTTTCTCATATAGAAGCTGGAGGGGCTGTCAGAAGCTGATTATACTGCCCGGAAAAGCATAACTTTACGCAACACAATGTAAAACACAAACTCTTATGCCAGTGTTCCAACTCACATCACAGCACAACACAGATCCTTACACCAGCCCCCATCCCCACCCCCCTTCATTAGGCTTACACACAGCCAGCAGGGGGGCAGAGTGCTGACACGGGAGGGTGTGAAACCACTGGCCAACCAGTTCATGGTCAGGGTCAACAAAAGTCATTCATGTTTCCTCACACAGAGGAGGCAGACAATGCGGGGGTCGTTTTCGTCGCCTGCAGCCACGTCGACGCCGAGACAGGTATGAGTTATGAGGCCGGCTGGGGCGGCCTCTGCTCCCCCTGGCTTTGGGAAAAGGAATGCGGGCGGCGTCTGGGCACAGGGAGCGAGCCACAGCCCTGAGAACAAGGGGGGGGGGGGCTGCTTCAGCAGCCTGGGAAGGACGGTGCCGCTCCCGGAGAGGGCCGGGCAGGCCGCAGAGGTTAGCTTGTCCAAATACTTTCACATAATAGAGAAAACCAACAAGCGTGGGTGTAGCGTGCTGTGCAGACACAGGGCAGGGGGGGCGGGAGACAAAACAGCAGACGGAGGCTGAATGGGCCCAGGGCCGGGGGGGGCTAGAGGACTGAAACACATGCCTGAAAGGAGACAAGCTGGCCTGGCTGGTGCCCCCCAACACCCACTTACAGACAGCCCTTCTGGGTAAGGGCGGGTGTAATTAGCTAAACAAGGCCAGATAAAAGTGCAAATTCACCTGTCTGTCTCTTCGTACTGAGATCCTCCACGTGGGTACATTCATCTTCAGCAAATCTGGGTGCATCTCCTGGCATTTACTATCTCTAACTTGCTGGTCGTCAAAAGTTTCTGGTTGTGCTACCGATATTCAAGCACAGCCAGAAGGAAGATTAGTGAAGACGTGTAAATTAGTGCGAAGAAAATGGCAGCTTTTAATGATTAGCTGTAGCACACAATTTAAAGAATATCACCAGCACGCTACTGGTGCCATCACAGCGGCAGGAAAGGGTAGCAAATGCTACAGTAGGTGTAATGACCCTGCCACTTTACAGCCTTAGCATATGCTAGTCATACCATAGCCATCCAATATGGAAGTTTAGGTTAAACTGCAAATGAGCTTTATTTTTCTCTGACATAAGATACAAAGATTCCAATGACTATACCTATTTAGGAGTTTGGAAATTGGGTTGAGCTGAAATGGTGTCAGATTTTAGCAGATTAAGGTTTATCTCAGTAAAAACGTAGCTGCTTTGCTTATTTAGGGGTAGTTGACAGTGATGCATGCTTCTGCCCTGCTGCTGAGTTTCAGCACTGATGGGGCACATTCTCACAGGAAGTACATCTGTCCCGAATGAAGGCGCTCAGGCCCCCCAAACTCAGGGGAGGAACATGAGCTTAGGCCAATACAGCTCTGACCCATGTGTCTCTGACGGGACCCTGTCGTGTTCCATCACGGCTGACACCCCGACACCTCTTCCTTGCAAAGATGCCAGGGAGATCCCACCCCCACTCCAAACAGCTCTCCCCACCCCCCAGTTTTCCTCTGGGCCCCACAGTTGTGACCTTACAGATTCTGGGAAGGGTCAATAGTAAAATGAATCAGCAGGAAGCACAGAGGGGGTGTGGAAAAGATACAGGGAGAAGTTATATTCCACACATTGTATGCTGCCTGCCTTCATACTGATTTCTTATTTTACTTTTCATTCTGTGTTTCATTCGATATTGTAATGGAAGTCTATATTATGCTTAGTTTTTTGTTTTTGCAAATATTCCTAGAGCTTGGTTTTAATAACTTGTTAATATCTAAAATATTTCTGAAGAAGTTTGGTCACAATACAGCAAAATAAGTCTTATTCTTAACCCTTAGCCCCTTGCACTTGGTAGCCCATAAGTAAATATTCCTAGGAGATGTAGCCACACCTCCCCAATAAAATCATTGGCAAAGGCGTGAAAGATGTAAATAAGGTTGTGAAGGCGGCAAGAGCAGGATGCAGTCCAGGAGGAACATCTGTCCTGGTCAGGCAGGAAGCCACAGGCAGCTGTGAGCACAGACACCCAGGAAGATGTGATCCCTTTTGTGAAATGACACGGCTCCATCGTGGGCTGTCAAAACGTGACACCATCACTATGGAGAGAAGACTTCCAGAAAGGGTGATGGACAATAGCCATCTGATAATCACAACCTGACAAATGCTTCATGGGTGGCCAGTCTTCCTGCTCATTTTGTGTGAGTTCTAACAGCACATCGAAATTATTTTAGCTTTTCCTAACTGTAACTTGCAAAAAATCAGGTAATGTTTACCCGTCATTGTTCTTTTACTCAAATTAAAAACATCCTTTCAAAACACCTGAATGTCTTGCTTTGACACTGATTTTGAGACCCAGTGTCTCATTAACCCATCATATTCGGTTAAGTTTGGCATCATAAACTCAAACAAGGTTTTGTCATCTGAGTAAAGCTTCCCAGAGGGCAGAGCAGATGCAGAGCCAAGCTTGCTTCTGGCACCTGGGGGTTCTATAAGCCCCTTGACTCAGAGAAGCTTTCACGTGAAGCAGTCTCAGCAGATTAATGTCCATATGCCCTTCACATGAGAGAAAGGCACGTATCTTAAGCATTTAGGGTAAAGAACCAAGTAAAAGCTCTGAGTTTAAAGAGTTTCAGGGAACTATCTAAAACTCCATGCAAGACAGTTAAGTTAGAAGGTCAATTTCCTAAGAGTTTTTCAAAAATATGCAAAAAGCTGACAGGTGAAATTAGTAACTGTACAGCCCCATTAGCTGTCTTTATTGTCATTATTTGGTGATCAGAGGCTCCTGTAACATCACAGCAGGAAGTTGGTGGCTGGTGACCCCGACCATCGGCATGAAAACTTGGCCAGACATGGCGTCTTGTCTGCAATGTCTCCAGCTTCCCCTGTGCTTCTTTGGGTCCAGGTCTCCTACCATCTCACACCTTGCCTGGCTGTAAGTTGGTGGCTGCCTCAGGAGAGATGGCTAGCACTAGCTGGTCCTCGCTAGCTAGCTAGTTAGCGGTTGTTGGTCCTCGTTAGATAGTTAGCACTAGCCGGTCCTCACCAGATAGCTAATTAGCATTAGCCAATCCTCTCTAGCTACCTAGTAAGTGGTAGCCGGTCCTCACCAGCTAGCTAGCAGGGTCGCCAACTGTCATGCATCTGGTGTGACACTCACTTTTTCTGACTCTCAAGCTCACACAAGAAATCTTACCGCACATATATATTATTCCATTATAATATAAAATTAGCTACATCAAAAGTGTTGGAGTAGTTTTCAATCTGTAGACTATTTATAAGGCAGTAAAACTCTTACATACATGTAAATGTATACTCAAGTGTGAATACTCAAACTGAAAATCTCACACCAGCCAGCTGAACAAAGTTGGCTAGCTGGTTAGCACTAGCTGGTCCTTGGCACACAGCCTCAGGCTTTGTGGCAGAGACTTGAACACAGGGACCAGTAGTGATATTTCTTTCACTGGCCTCGCTGATGGGCCTCCTTGTCTGTTGTGCCACCAATAGAGGATAGCTGTCTATAAACTAAAGATCTGGATGCATGCAATGTAACATCAGTGTCAGCAAGCCCAGATGATGGAGGAATGATCTGCTATTTCCAGCACATGACAACATTCCAGCCACTTCCGTGAAAATTTAATGGATACTTACCACTTGATTATGAATTGGCTATAAATTCTAAATGAAAGTCAGCTCAGATATATTAGGATGCCTCTTGCAGGTGCCATATTTTCATTATATATAGAGAAATTATATTGCACAAAACTACATATTTATGCTGTTGATAGGTTGTGAAATCTTTTTATGCAATGCAAGGGCAAGAAACAGTCATGATTCATCCAACATGTGGTGTTAGTTAAAGTGTTCCGTCTGTGTCATCTCAATGCCATGGAGATCCGTTACTGATGTATGTTTTGGCAAAATTTATATTCTAAAAATATGCAGCTATAGCCTGCACACAGAAATATATTAGAAGCTGACATTGTAGCTAAAATTGTTTTGAGTAGTCATTACTCTCTGCGCTATTGCACTTTTCTATCAAGCCCACTTTGCACGACATAGCAAAATGTGATCACCTGAATATGCACGCCCAGAAAGGTCATATAAGCTATAAAATATACGGATATCAGTATAACTTTAGAGCAGAATATTTTAAAATTTTGTCATATTGTCAAAACCTTCGGAGAGCTAAATGTTGGGGACCGGTGCTGGTGTGGTGCTGAGGCGTCGCCTGATGCATAGAGGCACTTGGGTCCCAATTTGAGGCGGCCCATCTGGGTAGGTGTGTGGAACATCTTGTCTCTCCGGTAAGATGACTATCTTCCCCTACTGTTGGGGGAGCTTCATAAACTCTGCATTTCAGTGGTGGCACTCTCTGAGGTACGCAGACCAGAGAGTGGTCAGATCTCTGTAGGTGGGTGTACCTACTTTTGGTCTCATCGGTCTGATGGCTGCCATACTCAGTGAGTAGATATTACTGTAACGGATCAGCTCCTCCCGATGGTGTCTGATGTCACTCCTTTCAATGAACGCATTAAGAGAGTCAAGCTAAGGTGACACTCCTCTGGTCATGGGTGACTTCAATGTGACCACTGGCAATGACTGGGCTGGCTATGAGGATTGTGTTGGTCACCATGGGTCTGGAGAATGGGGTGAGAGTGGCTCCATGTTCCTTGACTTTGCAAAAAGGACAGGGGCTGCGGGTCGCTGGATCCTGGTTCCAATGCCCTGACCTGCATCGTTGGACTTGGTACTCCAATACTGGTGATGCAGTGAAGGAGATCAATCACATCCTCGTGGGCAGATGCTGGAGGCTCCAGCAGAACTGTAGGGTCTATAAAAATGTGGATTCTGACCATAGAATTGTTGCTACTCTGAAAATTCAGCTTAGATTAAGTAGGCTACCACCTACTAGGAGAATGAGGTTGGACTTGGCCAGACTCCAAGATCAAGCTGCTTTTGATGAATTTGTCTGTCTGTCTGCGGGGAGAATGTCAACCTCGTCGAGAGATTTACTTACCTCGACAGTGACATTCATGTCTCTGGTGACTCTGGTGAAGTCAGCAGACGGATTGAGAGAGCATGGGGGGGTCATGAGGTCACTGGAAAGGGGTGTGTGGCGCTCCTGATATCTTTGCAAGAGGACGAAGTCTTAAGAGTCCTGGTGTTCCCTGTCTTGCTGTATGCCTGTGAGACATGGACACTATCCAGCAAGCTGAGACGAAGACTGGACTCCTTCAGTACTGTGTCCCTTTTGAGGAATCCTTGGGTACCACTAGTTTGACTGGTGTCAAATGAGCGGTTGCTATAGGAGTCCCGAATGAGGCACATTACCTGCATTGTGAGGGAGCGTCAGTTACAGCACTACAGCCATGTGGCGCGTTTCCCTGAGGGTGATCCGGCTCTCAGGATCCTCAATGCTGAGGACCCAAGCAGCTGGACCAGGCCAAGGGGACGCCCACGTAACACCTGGCTGCAGCAGATGGATGGCCATTTCCGGAGAGTTGGACTGGACTGTGTGTCTGCCTGGGGGATCGCTGACCGGGATCCTGAAGAGATTCGCTGTGTGGTGTGTGCAGCAACACGCTACATGAGCACATGCACCCCGACCTGACCTGACCAGACATATTTTTATACTAATTCTCTTTAACTACACAGTAAATCAGAAAGCAATCCAACTTGGTCGGATATTGGTCAGTGTTTATAACTGGTACAGGGATATTCATGGTTGAATCTGGAAGTTTCCAATCTTTCTTTTCGCGCCAAGTACACAGGGACACTACCCCATGTCTTCACACCTCAGGAATACCCATAGCGCGATTTCACAGTTCACTCTCCAACTGCTAACTGCTAACCGAATGTTTTATTGCGAAGACCCGACAAAGTAATAAATATTCCTACAAAACGCTTAACGCACATCCAAAACACCTCAACATTACCACAGAGTAAAAAATAGCATTACACAAAATTATTATCTTGGTTATATTAAATAATCCACATATATTACTTATTAAACTTCCAAAAAGTCAATAATAAAACATCTGATTAACAACAAATGCAAAACAGCCGTCACCCTGGCACTTTTCTTGTCATCATGCCTGTTTTTACTTTTGCAGTCATAGAGTTTGTATTGGCATTGAATCTGTTACATCTTATATAATAAAAAGGTAATAATTACTACAGTAAACATGAAAACAAACCTTTCCTGTGTTCTATGTTAGAAGATGAATGGATAGAAAAACTCTGTGCTAAAGGTATATAGGTCTATATGCCTATATTTAATTTTTGTCAACAAGCTCACGTGTGTGCATTTTTCAAAAATATTATAAAAACTTGTTTGTTAAAACCCAGAGTTATAACTATCTAGGCTTAATCCAGCTTTCCATTACATTCTATATGTGTGTCTGACATATTTACTTAACAATAAAGAATATTTTGGTGGTGTGTTTTTACTTATGAAAAGATAAAGTGACTGCTCGTTAAAATACAGTGTTAAACTTAGTAATTGACACCTGAATCTTGGTAAGGAAGTGTATCTGTTAATGACGCTGGTGCTCAAAATGCAGATCAGTCGTGTTTTACTTGTATAAATGTTCCCGCTACTTTTTTCTTCTAGGGTTATTTAACTAGTGAGCAACCTTGTAACCTTTAGCAGACTTTATTATTATTTGTTAACTATCCTGGCAAGCCTGCTACAAAAAAAACAAGGAACACTGATACACACAAACAGGACTAGGAAAACAAGAAAGTGTCTTCACCCAGAACATCACCTCCTGGTTTGGTAACAGCTGTGTCCAGGACTTTAAAGGTCTACAGAGAGTGATCTGGGCGGCGGAAGGCAGCACCAGATCGGATCTACAGTCTCTGCAGGACATTTACATCAGGAGATGCAGGACCAGAGCAGCCAGAATCGTCAAAGACTCATCTCAACCCAGTCACTGCCTGTTCAATCTGCTAAAATCAGGAAAGCACTACAGGAGTATTATGGAAAAAACAGAGAGGCTCAGGAAGAGCTTCTATCCTCAGGCCATAAGACTCCTAAATCAGGACATACCATCACAGCTTCTGTTCATAAGAAGGTCCATTTACAGCAGCTAACACACTGGACCTTACGACAGAAATATACATAATCTATTCTATTATGCGGCACCTTCTACAGACGCTGTCTATATTTGTAATGTTGCACATTGTACAGATATTGCCTAAAAGTGTAATGTTATTCGGATATATTTTCTCTACACATTTTCATTACCTTTAATCGTACCCTTTTTTATATATAACTTTAATTTGCAAAACATTATTGCACAGCCTCAGGACCAAATCAGTGTACATTTCACTACACATCATTCTTGTATAACTGTGTATGTGACAAATAAAGAATCTTGAATCTTGCATCTTCAGCAACTGATATAACAATTCACTGAATCGCTGCTGCCACCTGCTGTTCTTCACTTGTAATAAACATGATTCCAGTTGAAATTATATTGTTTAAGACATTCTATAACAATGAACTCATTTGACATTAATTGTTGGTTAATTAAAATTGCATTGATAACATATGCTGAATATGTTTTGTGCCAAACACACATTTACTGGATGTTAACGAATAGATTTAAAATCAGTAAAAAAAATCTTGCTATTTAGCCCCATCTTGTGGTACAGCCAGAAACAGCAAGATGTATAAACTACCTTTCGGTGAATTCCAGTGAAAAAAGGGATGATAAACTCACCACCCAGAAGAGTGTGCTGTGGGCCAGCGTTTGGTACTGGTCGATGGTGGACAGCACGCTGAGGATCAGGCAGGTCAGCACGATGAGGAACCTTAACATAAACAGAGAAACAAATACATATGCTGAGCTGGTCGATGGTGGACAGCACGCTGAGGATCAGGCAGGTCAGCACGATGAGGAACCTTAACATAAACAGAGAAACAAATACACAAGCTGAACTGGTCGATGGTGCACAGCACGCTGAGGATCAGGCAGGTCAGCACGATGAGGAACCTTAACATAAACAGAGAAACAAATACACATGCTGAATAGGGATGGCACGGTTCATGAAAAAAAACCGAACCGTTCGGTTCGCTTGTCTCGGTTCGGAGCATGCATGCGTCGCACGGTTCGACGGTTGGTTCATGACATGCGCAATGTAGCCTCGTGCCCCGTATGTGACGTCAGTGTGTTTCCTTTTCGCGCG